CTCACACAAGTACAATGCTTTCTAACGGCATTGTTGAGATCATTGTTATTTTGCGCGCACTAGTACAGTGTATAGAAAAATGTGTCTATGGTTTTATATATTCCATTACCTTTTGTCATCGAGTCTGTGGTCATTTTTATCATGCTTTATCAAGTCGTGTCATGTTGTTTTCTTCATTCAACAGAATATTTTGGATTTGAACTCTGAAGTTCAAATATTGTATATTGGATAGTTAATGCCATTTATCATTGCTTGCTGAAGCTATCTGTGATATTATCTTGTTCGTTTGACCACGATAACACGATTAAAGAGAAAATGTTTGTACAAAAAATTCTAAACGGAAAATTCTAGTTCTTTCTACGTCTATCTTAAATTTCAAATTATTTAATGTAGTATTAAATATTTGATGATTCTAAAGTGTTTCTCTTCATACTTTGCTCGTAAATACCATTCGTAACAAAAACATTTAGTATTTGAAGTGAAATATAGTTGAAGTCGTCTGTTCAAATGAATTCGCGGTACAACAAAGTCCACGCAAGTCCATTATATCGTCGGAGACGTATGATAACTAGGGCTGCCTATTTTCATTAACCGTAGACTTTTAACCGGCACAACAAAAATACGACTAATGACGACTTGATTCTGAAGTGAGACGAACAATAAAACTTTGTCCAACCACTCTGACCCTAAGATGTCTTGCACTAAGCAAACCTAAAGAATTTTATTTAAACCCAAAGAGGTGACAGCCCTAAAGCTGACAAACGGCTTGCATCACACTACAGTAATTGATCCCAATGATGGGAAGTTAAATGCCGTTCCCGAGTTCTTTGTACGTTCATTGTGGATGTTGTGTTGATTTATTGAGCTTGGAGATTTTTCTTGTGATCTCATTCTTTAATTATTCTACTGTAAAGACGGTTAGTATGACTTACACAAGTTTTGATGATGTTTTACGTAATTTAGAAAATAATATAGATAAAAGTTTAACAATATGAAGATCAAAAGTCATGTAACAAATCACAAGTACAAGAAGAATGTTAGTTAGCAATGTAGAGGTATACTGGGGTAGGTGTAAGTAATCCTAAAAAGAATCTAAATCTAAATCTAAATCTAAATCTAAATCTAAATCTAAATCTAAATCTAATCTAAATCTAAAAAAAATCTAAAAAGGTTGCGTGAAGGGTGACATGATCAAGAATGGAGTGATGACGGATGATAGACTTACCTGGAGGACAAAAACCAATTGCACCGACACTACGAGAGCAGGATAAGTACGGAAAATGATGATGATAAGAGTTTAACAGTCGCATGAAATATGATACTCTTTACTGAAAAATCACTAAAACAGGGGTGGAGAACCTTTAAGCATCAAAGTGCCATTTTTTAAAGAAATGTTCAATGCGATCTTAGACGATCCGACAAATAATTTTGACTGATTATTACGTAAATTCCATGGTGCATGGTAATGACATCGTGTTCGCTTTTTATATAATGCCTATGATACTCATACTTTTTCGTAGTGTTTTTAGGGTCATCGACGTGCGCAAAATATTGTGTCATGTGCCAATGGTTTACCACCCCTGTATTAGAACATACGTTTAAGGAAAATAGTTTATTCGAGCATTGCTTGTAACAATTTCTATAGGATGGCGTAATACTGGCACGTGATTCCGTTTCACTTGACATTGTTTCATTACCAAGTGCACTGGGGAACCGACGATGGCTCATTAATATAAAACGAATACTTATGCTAATGAAATTCAATCATTATAATTATTGTCTTAAAGTCTAATTTGTTTATAATCACGACTTTGGCACATGGTTACAGGATGAATTGTGTATCTTTAGAAATGCTCTTATATACGGCAACGTTAGTTTGTGTGTTTATTTTTAATTTTTTTTTTAATGTAGTTTCTGAGTGTAATCACGTGTCGATCGGAATTCTCAGTCGGGATCACGTTTTAATTAACAACTAACAGATGTAGTTATTTTTAATTTGAAATAAATGTTCAAGCGTTAATTTTTGATTCGACTATCATGATGAAATTTAAAATATTAGTAATTTTATACTAAAACTTTTTTAACGTCATATCTTTATATTCATTATTAAATTTATATGAAACAAACAAGACAATTGAAAGTGTTTTGTAATAAGGAAAAAACGTGATATCTATGTATTTAGGTAAATAGACTTCCAGTATAATTTAGTGATTTGTCAATTTATGAAAGGAATTAAGACAATATAAATAATAATGCATCGAAATTAAACTAAAAGGTTTTATTATTTAGTTTCTAATATATCTAATCTTGTATAAATTGTTGAATTTTCTTTTGTTTTCTAGAGAATAAGTACAGTCATTCTAATACTAGTAAAATAAAACGTTTTAATTTTTAGGTAGCAATGTATCTTTTGTAATCATTGCAAAGCAAGACTAATAAATTTGAGATTTCAAAAAACAGTGAATGAAGCTGGGTCGCTGACCTGTGGATTTTGCGGAAGCACTTGCATAACAACTTATTCCTATCCCTCTTGTTCCCTTTCAAGAAAGAGAGACAAGGATATATTTTAATATAAATGTTACAGTAGTGGAATTTCACGCTAAGCGTAGCATGAAACGGTTTTATAATTTGTTTGACAGGAATATATATTCTTGTCATTTTATTTTTTTCCAATGTGTATTATGTTGTCTATTACATTTTTATTGTTGTAAATGGAAAGTCCAATGACCTCGTTTTTGCTGAAAAAAATTAACATTGAATTCCCTTCTCTTCTAAAACGGTTCTAGAACTTCTCACTACATCGGAAAAATTGACTGATTATTAAAACTGATGTAGAGTTGTTGAATTAGTTTAAGTAATTAATCTAATACTAAGATACTCGTTATCAAAAACTCGCTCTTAAGCTAACTGACCACAGAAAATGAAGATGAATTGTTACATTTATCTGTCCAATAAATGATCCTAAACTTTTACAATATGATAGCTCGTATTTGCATAGATCCGGTCGATACGACGACCGACGATTTCATTATCAACGCTAGTATTGTTAGATAAAGTAGGTACTATACATGCTACAACGGCGATTAAGCTAGTTTCACACGAGGGTACATTAAAACAGAGCATTAGATAGTCCAGTACTGTTATTATACGAACAAATACTTACCGCCAACATTAAACGGTTCTGTATCGGCGTCAGCCCTTAATTATACTTTAAGTTTTGACCTTGACGCACGTGTATTACTGTCCATTTCGCTTTCTTTTTTAAAAAAAAAGAAATTTTGTATGTGTGAATGGTCAATACAAGTGCAATGAAATTTAGTACTGTTCTGTCTTGTTGCTCTATTTCATTAACCCTAGTGTAAAACTAGCATTAATGACGGTCGCCACATCGATGTGTCATGTTTTAATGTTCCATACAACCGGTGTAGTGACCTACAATATCACATTAAACCTTTATCTGTACGGCCTACGACTTGATTTATAAATTCGTAGGTGTTGAATGTTGCAAATCGAAGGTACCAGAAATAAACGATCGTTTCGCTAACTTCCTATCTATGTAAACCGTTTTCCTCAGTCAAAGATTAAATAGTGACAGATAGAACTTTTCTTAATCCATTTTATGGTTTGTATTCTTTGCTTAAGACACATGAGGACACGATAGACCGCCAGGTAACATCGTTACCATGTTGATGGTTAGCATTCTGCAACCGTGTGGTTTTCGCGGAAATTTCTGCTCCGCACAGCCGCGTTGTGGAACGATTTGTCCTCGGCGGTATTTCCAAACCACTACGACTTAAGGTCCTTTGAGAAGCGAGCCTACAATATCCTCAAAGGCCGGCAACGCATCTGTAGTTCCACTGGTGTCGCGGATGTCTATGGTCGTCGTTGACTACCTCTGTGTTCCCGCCGCTCGTTTACCCTCTTCTATTATAAAAAACAAATGATTTTAGGGTCTATTTTCTCTAGGTTAGCGTAGTTATTACATTTTTGTAAATGTATTCGAATAATTTAAATCTTAAGTCGCATCTGTTAAAGATTTGTCTGTGACCTTTAAACGTACAGCGGATAAGCAAGCAAGACCTCCGTTTAAAATGATTTATGCGCATTTTTATGTCAGACTGCGTACATGATATTTGAGTTTGAATGAGAACATACGAGTTCAAAAACAATATTTTTAACGTTAATGTTTTTCGGTTCTACTATCCTATACTTACTCTAACTACTTACTAATTGGAACCGATGTAATAGTTGACAATAGTGTTTTTACAACAAAAAATATCATTTACCAACCCCTAAAGCATTTTTAGATTGTTTTAGTTGGTAATGACGTCACCGCGTGAAGCCGCTAACTAAATGGATGATCGTAATTCAATAAACAAGCTCTTGACAATCATTATTATTGATTTAACAAATTCGCGAAGTTAGTTACGATTATAAGAATTTATTCCTGTTCTGTGAGTGTACGATTTTCTTAAATTGTCTTGGTTTAATTACCGCTAATAGTCTTGGTGTAACTTCTAGAATTTGTCAAATTAATGCCGCTAGTCAAGGTACTAAATGGTAATTAATTGATTTCTGTATTGGCCCATTAATCTAAATTATTTGTATTGTACTTGATTAAAATGAAATCGCAATATTGAGGTCAGGATAAAATGGCCGTCAAATTCTTTTCTTCCAAACTTCCAACAAAAGCAAGGAAACTGCCACAGTCACTCGTTTAATCTTTCTTCTTACTAATATTGTAAATGCGAAAGTTTAGATGGATGGATGAATGTTTGTTAGAGTTTGTAGCCGGAACGGCTGAACGGATTTCCATGAAATTTGGCTTAGATGTAGAGGATTGTCTGGAAAAACACATAGGCTACTTGCATTGGTTTCTTTTAATTTCGCGCATACGAAGTCGTGGGCGACAGCTAGTAGATAATAAAACAGTCATCTCTCTTGTTGGCATCTAATTTTTCTATTGTAAATTTTAAAGGCGTCATTTTGTTGTTTTTCAGTACTTACTGAGGCGTGTAACAACGAGCCTGCGTGTCTACAGGACCGCGCCGGTCTCGAGGCCATCACACAACTGCATCGTCAACTCGACGACGACGCCAACGGGAACGTCGACCTTAGTGAGAGCGATGATGTGAGTATACGATTAATTTGAATTAATCCAGTAACTAAGAGTCCTTATTCTGATCCATTTTCATTCCTTATCTAATTAAAAATAAATGGGCATTTGACAAGAATTGGTACCAAGTAATGATTTTGCAAGTCATGAGCATTGAACGATTCGTATGTTTTTTTTGTAAACATAATGACGTAACGAATTACATATTTGGCGTAGAGTTTTAAGTTCGGATCTGCAGCTGCGTTTTGTTTCATTGTGTTTGAATAATATTAATATGCAACATCTCGTTGCATAATTATGTCGTTATCGCTTGGCCTTATTTCAACTATTTCCTTCAGGCGTAACAAAATTATATATAGGTAAAATCATTTACAATTGTTGACGCGGCATGCCCGGCCTTATTAGTATAATATGGGTATAAACAATATGAAGTATGTTATAACCACAGATAATAAATATATACAGATTAAACAATACACTATTAAGAGTCAACGACCAACAATTCAAGGCCAGTGTTAGACAAAAAGTAAACGATCATTACAAGTATAACCACATTACAGCACTTTTGAAGATTTTTTACCGATTTAATTCTTATTAAAATGTATAGTTTAGTTTGTCCATGATATTATAAAGTCATTTTATATTTTCTTTTTGTTTCCATTGCGACGTTTTTTAATCGATTTCAAAAAGGAAGTTCTTTGTAATAATTCTTTAACACTTCTGCATTTACGTCTTTGTTTTTTTTTCTTAATATTGCTATAAATAACTCTTCAAACCTTATAATGTATCTTGGGAGGAACAGTTTATGTCAATATAATAACGTAATACGGACATCTATTCGTTACGTATATGAAAAAAGTAATATGATTTTTTCATATTTTCAACAATCAAAGTACTGTTGTATCTATTTTGTTATTGTGAATTATGATATCTATTTCTGCCGTTTCATCTTTGCAATTGATTTGACGTCCCCTTGGCTCAAAAACTAGCGCACCTGACTCCCACTACGAGAATTGTAACAAATTCTCAACCTAGTAAGGTTTATAATATAAGTAAGAAGTAATATACGGATATTGTAAATGCAAAATTTTATAAGGATGGATGGATGTTTGTAACCTAAACTGCTGCACTTATCTCAATTAAATTTGCCAAATACGAGTATATAGAGGATAGTCAGGAAGAACATATTTTCTACTCACTTTTGTCTTCTTTAATTTCACGCGGACAAAGTCGCTGGAAAAAGTTACTGATTACATATTTACGTTGTAAAATGTTTAGACAAAACGTCAGAATCCGTACATGGGCACTATTATAGTATTTCTAATGTTCTTAGATTACAAATATTGACGTATATATCCTATCCAATAATATCCTGTACTGATTTACTTTATCTCTCGTGTTCCAGTTCCTCCGTGAAGAGTTACAGTACGACAGCGGCTATGAGAAGCGACAGCGTGCCTTCCATCATAACGATGATATGCACATTTCTGTTAAGGAGTTGTGGGAGGCCTGGCTTAGATCAGAGGTGAGTAGAGATTATAGAAATAAGATTGTAGAGATATTTTAGAAGTAATTTCTAGGCTTAAATTTGAATTAAATTATACATAAACAATAGTTACAGCCTCAATAAATGGGGTTAGACGTTGTTTAGTTAAATACGTTATTTAATTATTTGATATACTCTGTTACACCCTAAATATGGAACACACTGTGTTAGGTATAAATACTAATGTAGCATTTCACAAGCCTACACACAATGTTTCAATAGCCAGGATTGTTTTAAGAAAGGAAGATTTATCTTAAAGATGTGCTCGGTGCTAGAATTACGGATATGCTTTAATGTATTTAAAATAGCCTATTTTTTATCGATAGACCTAAAATTCTTAGTGCTCTACCAAGCGCTAAACATATCCTATCAAGTTATTTTGTTTATTTGTATCTACAAATAGGCAACGGTTAACATTTTGTTCTTAATTTTTACTATAGAAGAAACAGATAGTCGTTAAAAAGTTAATTATTGTAAATTCTTGTTTTATCACAAATCATACTTCATCCTAATATTATAAATGCGAAAGTTTAGATGGATGGATTTGTTTGTTAGAGTTTGTAGCCTAAACTGCTGAACGAATTTAGATGAAATTTGGAAGAACACATAGCCTATTCAATTTTGTTTTTTTTTTAATTCCACGCGAACGGAGTCGCGGGCCAAAGCTACTGTACTGCTAGCTGTTTTGATATAAACTTCGTATATTTCCAGGTTCACAATTGGACGACGGAGCAGACGGTGGAATGGTTGTCCCAGTCGGTTGACCTGCCGCAATACAGAACTCTATTTCTGCAGCACAAGATAACTGGAGCCACATTACCCAGGTTAATAAATAAAATATTCTATTTTATGATATAAGAGCTTTTCCGTGAAATTATAAAAACTATATGAGTTTACATTTGTGTACTTTTCAATTGGAAATATCAATATTCAAGTGCACAAATGACTACGAAGGCCTTTGACATTGGATAACAATTACCGTTACCATGGCAACCTTGATTCCTTGATGTCAGCTTGTACTTTATGATCCCTTTCGCAGATGTTTTTCCAAATTATTTACTCTCTGAGTTTAATAGCGTGAAAATATATAGCCTAAAGTGTCGTTAGTTTAGAGATAGGATTATTCAAAAACATACTGCGATTGCTGTTATCTATACTATTATAATAAAGCGTAAACACACACTTCTTAGTTGCCTAAGATGTCAGCAATTACAGCGTATTTTTGAATAATTCATTTTTTAATAAAAAGCCCTACATTTACGTCACGCTTTAGCCTATATATTTTTACACCCGCAAACTTAAGGATAAATATTTTGGATAAAAACCCATGTGGGAAAGAGACCATAAGTTGTTCTCAACATCAAGGAAGCAAGGTTGCTATGGTTTGACATCATGTCATGTCATTTTGACATTTACAATTGATAATTTGACAAATGTGAACAATAAGATTATTTTTTTATAATTTTACGCGGATGAAGTCGCACGGGAACAGCTAGTTCTTTATAACGAAAAAGTGTGCGTTTGCACTTTATAATCATACTTCTTACTAATATTATTAATGCGAAGGGGTATATGGATGGATGGATGTTTGTAGCTTAAACGGCTGAACGGATCTCGATGAAATTTGACATAGATGTAGAGGATAGTCGGGAAAAACACAAAGGCTACTAATGTTTTTTTTAATCCACGCGCACCGAGTCTCGAGTGAACGCTAGTATAAAATAACACGAACAGTATTTGGTATTTGTATGATTTTTATATACCAAAGAAACTATCTATAAAGTATATATTTTATTGCTTTTTTTTTTCAAAAAAACAATCGATAAGGGTTTCTTTTCTTTAATAACCGAGAGTTATAATAAGTATTTAACTTACAGGTTGGCGGTAAACAATATGCAGTACCTGAGCAATGTCCTTGGCATTAAGGACCCTATACATAAACAGAAGCTCGCCTTGAAGGCTATGGACGTTGTGTTATTTGGACCTCCGAAAGGTACGTCCCCGTTTTCAATTGTATTGATGTTATACATATACATACATACATACATACATACATATATCTACAAATGTTAAATATATTAAAGGACGATTTTACAAAGCAAACTAATATAATCTAATGATTTGGTAACTGAAAAAAATCACTAGCAGCACTTTATTAAAACACTAGAGTTTCCCGACGGGCTTTATCGGCATGAAATTATAAAATCATTATTTTTAACTGTTCCAATGCGGCTTCATTCGCATGAAATTATAACATTTTATTTTATTGCTTACAACCGTCAGATTCTCAATTGCAAATGTCAAAATACCTTTTACCTTACTATGGCAATCTTGCTTCTTTGTTGTTGGCAGCTTGTACTGTTTGGTCTCTTTCCCACATCAAGGTTTTTACCAATTTGTTTATCCTCTAAGTTTAATAACGTGAAAATGTATAGACTAAAACGTGTCGTAAGGTAGGGCTTTTAATTAAAGAAAGTATTATTCAAAAATATGCTGTAATTGCCAACATCTTAGGCAACAAACAAGTGTGTGTTTACGCTTTATTATAATAGTATAGATTTGTGAAATTTTCAATTGCAAATGTCAACATTCAAATTCACAAATAATAACAAAGATCTTTGACATTAGATAACAATTACCGTTACCATGGCAACATTGATTCTTTGATCCTATTAGTTTGTAGTTTTTTCCTATCTTGGATGACGGATTTTTACTATTTTTATCTTTCCCAAGTTTAATGACGTGAAAATATAATATAGCCTAACTCGTCGTATACATAGGGCGTTTTATTTGAAAAAGAGTTATTCGATAATGTTCTGTGATTGTTGACATTCTATGTAACTAAGTAGTGTGTGTTGATAACTTCGAGCAGCTATAAATTTTGAATCTTATAATACCCGTAATCGATGAAGGTATATATATATAGCTCATAGCATGCACAGAGTGTGGATATCTGTAATATCTTTGATATTGGGGAGGATATTGTTAGGGGTAACATGTATCTTGTCATCTTGGCATAGAGTAAGTTGCAGAACACAATGTTTATTGTAACGACATACAGAGACATATACGTAAAGAGACGTATGCTTGATCTTGAACGCCCAAGATACTTGAATAGATGTATACCATATTATGTGAACATACGTAATTGAACATGTTATGCGATCATGACTGCACCACTATATATTGCTGCCAAAACTTGTATATTCTTTGAAAATAAAACTGCACACTTAGAAACGTTTGATAGTAACTTACACAGTCGTCCCATGTAGATTTTTCATTTTAAATAAACAAAGCGTGTATCCTTCCTTAGTGTCTACTCAACAACCCTGAGTGCGGCAGTAAATCTTAACAACACAAGGTGCCCTTCAATAAATTGCAAATATTTTAAGATAGTTTAAAAACGATGTGATTATTCAAACAGCGTGTCGAGGCGTTCAAGTAATAAACTCGCTTTTTATACTCGTCATTAAGTGCTCACGACATGACATTAACCAATGCTCGAGAGTAAAAAAATACATTTTAGTAATGTAACTTAAATATTACTTTAAATCTAAGTTTCGAAGTGATTTTGTTGTACTTTTCATAGAATAATGATAGGCAGGCTTTTATTATCTGTACTAATATAGAGAGGAAAGATTGGCATTTTTGTATGTATTGAAATAACTCAAAAACTACAAGGCTGATTTCATAAATTCATTCGCCATTAGAAATCTACGTTATCGCTGAGTAACATATATTTTTAAATTTCACGTGGACAAAGTTAGGAAGGACACTAGTCTTGTATATGTTCTAAATAAAATCACTACAGTAAAATATACTTACGATGAATAAAATTCACTGAAATAACTATCAAACGAGAAAATGTTCAAAACGATTACAAAACAATGCGATCGGTAAATTTTGTTACATTAGTTCTACATTATATACGACTAGCTTTCGCCCGCGACTCTTGACTCTTGAATTGAAAAAAAAAACAAAAGTGAATAGCCTGTGTGTTCTTCCAGACTATCCTCTACATCTATGCCAAATTTTATCGAAATCGGTTGAGCCGTTCAGGCTAAAAACTCTAACAAACATCCATCTATCCATCCATCCATCTAAACTTTCGCATTTATAATATTAGTATGATTATTATATTATTACATAGTCGATTAAGCAATAAATCAGACTCGTACAAAATGCTGTGATAACACCAGTACTAACATAGCTGTACTGTGTCAAGATTATTACAAAATGTATTGCTATCTCTTTCACTTACCTATTAAATCAAGAAATAGAGAACAAAGAAATGTAGGTAGGAAACCCGCTTCGATACCTAATTAAAACTTTTTGTCGGTATATTTTGGTGTTATTCTTTTCTCAGGCGTATATAATTTCGCAGTAATTGCGCTAATTGTACTTAATTACATAAATTAAACGTGTTCAAGACATTGTTCTGCGAAGTAACCGTTCATACGTGAATAAATTTTGCTCAAACAGCTAGCATATATAATCTTTTCAGGTAACATACTGGCTGAACATTGCGTT